GTGAGCATCTGTTGTTCTATATGTTTTATTGTTCTCAGAGTGTGATCTTGTCAGATCTTGTTAGCTTAATAGCTCGGACTGTGTCACTCCTTGGATGGGAGAGTTTGAAACACAATGAGAAATGGCACAAAGTGGTTCAGTCCATAGCTCTGCTCCTTCTGGGTCAGTGCTGAATCACCAACCCATCAGTCTGAGGTGGAGAGGGTGTGATAGCTCTGCTCCATGAGACGTTCTGGCTTTGGTGATGACATACCAAGAAGGTCAGCTGGTGGCATATTTTACTAGAAAAAAATGTGATCCCATGAGCCAAATTCTGTTTGGGACAAATTGCATACCAACAGCAGCACAATCATCTTGTTTTTTTCTTGTTCTAGAGCAGCTAAGGTAGCTGTTGTGAGATGCTTTGATAGCAGATAGCAGTGCCTGCAGTGAAAATGTGGTGGTTTTATATATCTAACTATGTGTGTGTAATTGTGTGTGAACAGAGGGTGCTTATAGTTTGTAATCCCATAAAGTACCAGGATGAAAAAAATTCACGAGTTTGAGCTGAGTCAGAATATATGTTGGAATATAGGACTGAAAGGTAAGACATAACTGGCTTTGGAGGGGTCCCTGCACACCAGTGGCATACTCTTCTCTTGTCTTAAATCAGTGTTTTTTAGACAGTGAGAGAGAATGAGCCACTAGTAAAGAAAATAGAGGTGTGAGAGTTAGGGAGAAAGGAGTAAATACAAAAATTCAGTGTTTGTGTAATACGCTTACGACATTTGGATGGTGACAACATATGACTGGTGCTAGTTAAGAGGTCTGATCTCTGCATCCAGTCATCTCAGCTTTAAGCCCTCTTTATAATTCACTAATTCACAGGGGATTGTAGTCTGCCCTTGTACTTTTGGTGACCAGTTGTATGCCAAGCAGAATACTCAAACGTCTTCAGTTAGTTGCTGAGTCTTCAGCACTCAAGAGCGTGTCTGCTTTTCTTTAAAGTAATTTGAAAATGGTGGTAGTATCCTGCCATTTCAAATAAAAACATTATCTTCCATTCTGCCCGTGGCCGTGGCATTCACAAATGACCTAAAGGGCCCGGATGACCTAAAAGGTGCAAATGACTCCAATGGCAATTGAATCTGCGTGCCAGTGTTGTGAGGCTCCCTAAACCTGGGGGGCATCACTGGCCATCTGCAATGGTAACACGTACAGATCTGCACGGTAATTTTATTGTGCCAGAATAGGGGATTAAAGTATTTCCTAACAAAGTAGTTAAAGGTATGAATGAATACACGTTCTAAAAGTTAGTAATGTGGCAGCTAGGTGAGGAAGGCAAAGTTAGAAAGACACCTTTCTGCATGTGAGAGACTGTGTCTTTCCAAATTCTGCGTATATCCCTGCAAAATCCCTGCCCCAAAAGAAGCCTCAAAAAACAGGAAAGAAAAAAAAAAAAAGATGGACAAAAGGAAAGTGTGGCCGTCTCCTAGCCACTCAACAGGCAACTCTGAGATCCTTCTGGCAAGATCAACTGAAGCTGAATTTGTCATTGTTTGGCTTGTGTCACCCAGCTGGTCGGGTCAGAGAGCTTCTCTGACCTGAGTCCGCAAGTGATGGACAGGTCTGCAGAGGGCATTATCACAACATAATCACATGGAATGAAAGGAAAACCATGTGTGCCTTTCTTAACTTTTTCCTCACCATTCTCCAAATCTTTAGGACAATACATCTTTTCTTATTTTACTCTGAATCTGATAATGCTTCTGTTATGTAATAAGGTTTTCTCAGCAAAATACGGCCTGGAGAGTAGTAAATGGAGCTCTTCCAAGGATCCACAAAGATCTGCAAAGATTCTGTTGCACTGCTAAAGGAAGCATTAAACATGGTCAGAAATATTTCCTGCTGGGTTGTAGTGTGCTTTTTAGTTTCCTCTGTCCCTCAGGCACTAGTGAAAATTCCAACTGACAGGGAGGTGTTTTGTTTGTTTTTTTCTGATTTAAGTTAGCTAAATCAGTTTTGAAGTAGAACAGAGAGGGTCTGTAAGTTCTTAGTGGTAGTATTGCTCTTGCCAAACCCAACAGCACCCAGGAGGAAAAAGCACTGGAAACCCAAAGACCCTGGTCAGGAGGAGACCAGAGAAAGAATTCTGGCCTGGGGGACTTCGAAATTCCTTTTAACTTTTTGTCTATCTGTATATATGTGTGTTGCTGGCTTGTGGGGAGTGTAGGTGGAGATGTGCATTTGGAGCAGGTGGTGTCAGAAGTTTGGTTGTTCACTTGGATTTACAGGTTTTATTTAATTGCAGTATATTGACCGCAGCATGAAAACAAATTTTTAGTACATGGAAAGCTTAAAGAACATAGAACTATGAAATATTATTGGTTTGGTGGCCTGTATGAGGAGACTAGCACTTGTGGACCCTGAACTAAAATTGTGGCAAGACAAAAAAAACAGGAAAAAAAATAGGGGTTTGCGGTGAACTGAAAAGTTTTGTTCGATCCTGTAAAATAAATGCAGGTGAACTTTGAAATGAAAATAATAACTGAAAACAAAATCGAAATATTCTACTTTAAAAATGTCAAAGTTAAAATTTTCAAGCCCTTAAAATTATTCTTTCTTCCCTGCCTTCCAGGGGTCAACATAATTTTCTGCATTTGACCTGCATGTGGAAGCAGCCTTGTTCTTGCCACTCAGAAACACACTAGAGCTAAATAATGATGCCCCGCTCTTGTGAAAATAAGTCTTTCAAAATAAAGCTCTGCTTGAACGTGGAGCAATTTAGACTTCGGATAACCTATGAATGACATTCCTTATTGTCTCTGTGGCTTATTCTGACCTTTTGTCATCTGCTGGAATAGAGCTGCAACTTGCCAGAATCCTCCTTTAAGACCTTTTCTTAATAGTACAAGGGATATGTTAAGCTCCTGGGAAAATTAAAGTAGCGAGGCAGAATTTTCACGAAGGAATGGATATGGTAATATCCCTGGATATTATGCCTGTGTATTTCACATTTCTAATGCAATTGTGATGCTTCAAAAAAATATCTTTTCTAGATCTATGCAATGATATCCAGCAATTTGTGCTGTTACTCTTTTTCCTCTTATGTGTAGGGACGATAAGGATGGATCAGAATCACCCTGTGCTCTGAGCAGTAGCAGTTGCCGAGGCAGGAACTAGAGGAAGTGTGTCTCAGATCAGCAGTTCTCAAATGTGCTCGTAAACACACCAAGAGCTGGCACAGCATGCCAGCACGTCGTGGTATTCTGCTCCTCCTGCAGCTCCCCATAGCTGCCCCGAGCACGGCGTCGCAGTGAGGCCATGACGAGCACTCAGATAGCGGCTGGCGATGAGACACAGGGCCTGTGGCTGAAGGCTGTACGAAATGACTGATAGGAGAGGGTGTGCAGTCAGGGAAAGCACTACTGGCTGACAAATGTAGGCTTGGTTTTGTTATGCACATTGCTAACATTATTCCAGTGTGAGAGGTGTCAGCAGAAGAATCCCAAAACACAGAGTCATTCAGAACCACAGGTTACTTTCATACAAAGAGCTATTTTTTTTCCTCTAAGCGCTTCATATTTCTGCTTGCAAGAAATACCAATTCATTTCATCCTTGGCTTCTAACACGGTTTTACAATGGATAACAAAAAAATGTTTTATGGGTCCCTTGATCCACTGCAGCTTATGGAGTAATTTGAATCAAGCAAGTGTTGGTCAGTAGGTTAGGGATGCAGGTGAATGAATCCTTTGTTATTCTTGAACTTGTGAGGTTGAGGTACCACTCACATTAAGGGGAAATTAACTTTTAATATTCTTCAATTACCAGTGATTCTGAAAAAGAGGTCTTGTGCATGGCGCGTTATTTGAAAGAAAAGGCATCTCCACATGAGTACCAGCTTCATGATCAGATGTTATGGAAAAATGATAATATTTACAGGAGAAGTATTTATTGACTTACATTTGGGCTGTATAAGCTGTGTGCTGCTGAGAAAAACATTCTACACCTGTAGCCATTACTCTCTCTGGTTGATGTACACATTGTGAGACAAGGACTGGAAATGGCTTGTTTCATGTCAAATGGTCAGTGCCACTTTCTCTAATCCTTGGACATGTTTGGAGTTGAATACCTGCTGGCAGAGATCTATGCACCAAACCCCTGTTTAGAGGCTTGGCACTAAACACAGGAGATACTTATTTTTGACTTCTACCAAGCACCAGTGGCTTGCCAATTTCCCTTCAAGTTTACCCAGGAAAACATCGCTGAAAATATCACTGAGCAATGGCACAAATGAAGAAATGCATTTTTGGAGGCTGGCAATCTCTGGCGGAGAGGACTGCGATAGGCAGTGGAATGTACAAAATGGTGTTAGCATCCCAGAAGCGCTCTGTCATCTAAACACAGGATTGATGTGCTTTCAGTCTTTCTGTGTGTTGGGCATTTTTGGCTGCTTGGTGAGTTGAACTGAACTGATGTTATTGTATAAGCGATTTTTCTGATCTAAAACGATGAATCTAGTCAACTTCCTCTAGGATTTCTTATGTTTCTTACCGGCATAGCATCTACGGTGTAAAGTCTGTGTGGAAAAAGGAAGATCACTTATGAAAATAATTTACCATTTTCTCTCATCTATTTGAAGTCAACAGAGATTTTGTTGCAGTATGGGGAAATAAATGCTAGAAAAGGTCTACAGTCTTCGTACCTTAGTGTTATCATACCTAAAGCTGGTTGCTTTTTACATTTCTGACTCCCCCGAGTGCATCTCCTGGCCACATACCAGAGCAAAGATATGTGTGTCCTGTTTTCTTTTCTTCCTATATCCTGAGAAAGGAAGATAAATGTATACTCTTTATACCCAGGTATCTATACCTTTTGGCTGTAAACAGTGCGGCTTTGTCAAGGCATGCTTGGGAAACATCAAGCAAACACAAGACTGTGAAACAACTTATGGTGAATCCTCGTGCCCGTGCGCAGCCTGGTGTCATGTCAGTGACGAAGCCAGTCTCAGACGCCAATATGGTGTGCAGAAAGCGCTCGTTTATTAAGCCTCAGTGATACATATTTATCTTATTTTGTGTTCCGTACACGCGCCGAGCATGCATACTGCATTACAATTATAGGCTACTAATTACGTATGTTAGTTTGTGATTGGTGCTGCAGGCCGATCACTCGCTGTTCACGCACCTTAGCGGATTGGCTGCTCTTTTCCCCGAGTCCGTTGCCAGCTTCTTCTCTAAATGTTGAACCATCACTTTTTGTTTCCAACTGTTGAACCATCACTTTGTTTCCTTGTGTCCTTGGTTGCTTTGGTGACTCTTATCATAGGTCCTGATATGGCCGCTGGGCCACATAAACCTCCACACTTCCCCCTTTCCTTATAATTGAAAAGATACAATGATTTATACAACAAAAGAGGCCACTAAACATGAGAAGGGCACATAAGAGAAAAAGGAACAAACGGAGGCCTTCTTTGATTAGCTGGCTAAGCCAGGGTCCAAGACCCCAGCCTGTGAAGAAGCTGTCAAATGGTAAGGCGCCTTCTTGAATGTGGTTGATATTTTCCTTTAGCTGAGCTAGCTGCTTGTGGATACTTACATGATGGTCCGACAAGTTCATGCAGCACATGCCTTCGAACTCCTGGCATCCATGTCCCTGAGCTGATAGGAGGGAATCAATAGCAGCTCTGTTCTGCAAGACTGCATGGTTAATAGAGGTGACATCGTTTAAGAGCTGTTCAAGCACAGCTGAGGTGATGTTGCTTTGTTTTACAGACCAGCAGGCTAGGCGTCTTAACTGATTTAAAGCATGTCCGCTGCAGCACCTGGAATAAGTGTAGCTAAGGCCGCATCGACAGCTTTTGAATTTAGTTTAACATCATCATCACAGTTGGAAGCAAAAGCGTGTAAAGAGCGTTTGACTTGAGTCGTGTTAAAGTGAAAGCAATTCTCGAAAATGTGGAGCAAACACGGTCAATTGTCCCAGATAACATGGTCCTCCAATGATGCCTGCTGGGATACCCTGCCAAGAATGACTGCCACATATAAGAAATATATCAGGGGGTAGTACTTTTGCATCATGAGGGGATGGTACCAGACTGTGAATATTGCACTTTGGCCAATCTGTGTGTGTAGCATTAATTTGAGAAGTTCCATTCGGACCTATGTAACGTATTTCCCTGAGACCATTGTTGATGCGTCCCCATTCTCCAACCATTACATAGCCAGAACCGTTAAAGCATCGGGCACTGGGGCTAATGGTAGTGCATATGGCATTGGGATTGGATGACTGATTCCCAATGTGTGACACATTAGTAGGAGCACCAGGTGCGAAACTACTCATGACATCCAAAGCAGGAATAGCAACTGGGCTTGTTATGTTAAGTGCTTGAATTAGGGCAGCCTGAATGGAGGACCCTGATATGACCGGCCAATAGTTTGAACAATTGAGAAGATTTTGCCAATGACTAGAGTTAAAACAGATGTTGCCTATATATCCTGCAAAATCAGTGTAATTAGCAATGAGCCGCTTTGTTAAAGTGTCATTGCCTTCCCAAGCGATCGGAACGCCAATCAAACAGGTCCTGAAAGGATCACCTACAGTTTGCAAGCTTAGGCAGAAATCCATATTCCCTGTTTGGTTTGCCCATGTTACCCAGACATTTTTTTCGAGGATCTATGCGCGTGATTATTGCTAAAGCAACTGTTACACAAGACAAGAGTATTAGTAACAAGGATTTTGATGCCATTGCCAGTGTTGCAAAGCCTGCTCCCAATTATTGGCTTCGATATTCTGAAAATGTGGCAGTCCTAGGTGTTTTCCCACACCAGACTCCCAATACTTACTGTTGCAAAAGAATTTGGTTTAAAATTATCTGATTTGTTTCAAAGAATTTACAATGTATTGTGGCACATGGCGTCAAATCTCCTATTAATTATGAAATTTCTGTCTCAATTACCAGCCTTTCTAACTCAGTACAGGGTAGGCCTAATGCTGTGGCTTCAACTTGACAGGTGAGGTCGAAGTCTGCTTTTACCCAGTCTTATTCCTGGCGTAGTCTTCGCCGTCTGGTTCTTGGCTCTTCTGGGTAGTCTCTGGAACAGGTAATAGGATCGTTGCATGAAGTATGAATGTCAGGTTTCATCCATTTAGAGGGTATCCACTGTGGTTCTTTCCCCTGTGTTGAAACACAAGCATATCCTCAACCATATGTTAGTAACAAATATCCTGATTCCCACAGTTGTGTTTTGGGGTTCCACACTTTTACCTGAGGAGGTTTATTTGGTGTGGTTTCTGTGCGTGCGTGTCTGTGCTGCAGTGGTATCATCGCGCACCAAGAGCCAATTGAGCACAAATAGAGTTTTATTCAGAAGTTCTTTGGGCAACAGGTCCTTTTCCCCCTCTTTCAATAATGTGAGGTACCATTTTAATGTGGCATGTTTTCGTTCCACAATGCTCTGGCTTGTGGAGTTATAAGGGATGCCTGATGTGTGTAGGATGGACCATGTCATACAGATACTTTATTATTTGTGATTCTTTATTAGAGAGGTAAGCTGGGCCATTGTCTGTATGGATAGTAGCTGGCTAACCCATGGCTGCAATAGCAGCTCGCCAATGGGCTAGAACATGCTTGGCTGATGCCGTGCTGTGTGCCGTGGCCCATGTGAAACCCGAATCGGTGTCTACTGAAACATGGATATATTTATAGCGACCGAAAGGGGAGTATTCTGTGACATCTGTTTGCCAGAGGGAATTTGGCTGTAAACCTCTAGGGTTTACCCCCTCATCCAAAGCGGGAATTCTGGTGCACCCAGGATACATGGCGATTATGTCACGAGCTACCTGTGGAGGAATATGAAATTGTTTGACAAGTGATTTAGCAGGCTGGTGAAAACATTTATGTGATGTCTCAGCTTGATCCCTGAGGTTTACCTGAGCAGAAGAGACCAGTTTATCTGCCTCTGCATTGCCTTGTGTCAGATATCCGGGGGTGTTAGTATGGCTTTGAATATGCATGATATAGAAAGGTGATGATCGAGCATTAATCAAATTCCACAGAGTGAACAATTCCTGAAATAAAATTTTGTTATCAATATATTTTAGAACTGCACGGTGTAAACGAGGAACCAGCGATGCTACGTATTTGGAATCTGTGACAATGTTAATAGGTTGAGAGTGTAATTGCAGTGCTACTCTGACTGCTTGTAATTCCAATACTTGTACTAACCTTGACCACATACACGATGCGTCTTTTGCTGTTGAGTTGCTGGATCCGTCCACCAGATGCCTCCCTGACCTGAACGACTGCTGGCATCTGTGAAAACTGAGAGGGCTTGTAATGGTCTGGAAGAGACAATAGGGATAGGTTCAAAGAGCACTTGTGAAGTGAACAGGTCATATGGAGGGTAGTGGGAACCGAGTTGAGAGGCACTGTAGGTAACAGCTAGCGCTAGGGCAGAATCAGACTGTAAGTCTAGCTGTAATACGTCTTCTGACATAGGAATGTAAATGGTGTAGAAGTAATCACCAGACAGTGTAAGGAGCCTCTGGGTGGCTCTACTAATGCATTCTCCTATCAAAGTGAACCAGGTAGTGATTGTTGTTTTACGGGTATGGGGTAAAAAACCCCACTCAATTATTTGGGGAGTTTTCTGGCCTTCATTAGTTTGAAAAATAATACCATATACCTCCTGGTGAATACTGATAATGGCAAGGTGAACTGGTCGCTCAAGCCGTACACGAGGTGCAACCTTTTGTGCTATGTCATTTCCCAGCTGCTGTGGTAAGCAAGTTACCTCGCGAGAGGGAGTCCTCTCAATGGAGGTACCTTCCTTATGTTGCAGCAGTGCATAGACAGGCTCTAGCTGAGTGTTGGAGATGCCTATTAATGGTCACACCCATTGGAGTGATCCAACTAATTGTTGAACCTCATGGAGGGTGGTAAATGTCGCAGGTATTTTTATGGGCAAGGGTCGGATTTGAGACTCAGAGACTGCCATGCCCAAATACTTCCATGGCATAGTTTTTTGGATTTTTTTCGGGGGCTACTGTCAGTCCCCATTGGCTTAATGTTTCTGCTAATAAGGGAACAAATACTGAAACATCAATGGAATTATGTGCTATCAGAATGTCATCCGTGTAGTGATAAATAATATAATTGGGATACTGCAGTCATATCGGGCATAATGCTTGATCGACATACCATTGACAAATAGTGGGAGAGTTTTTCATTCCTTGTGGCAGGACAGTCCAGTGGTACCTCTTGTAAGGTTGTTCACGATTTATCGATGGTACAGAGAATGCAATTTTTTCCCAATCGTCTGGATGCAGTGGGATACTGAAAAAGCAATCCTTCAGATCAATGATCAATAATTGCCAATTTTCTGGTAACATGGTTGGCATAGGTAATCCAGGTTGTAGAGCACCCATGCTTTCCATAACATTGTTTATAGCACGTAAATCATGTAGTAATCGCCATTTTCCTGATTTTTTCTGGATAGTAAAAATAGGGGTGTTCCATGGACTAGTGGACTCTTTTATCTGGCCCAGTGCCAATTGTTCATTTACCAGATCTTGAATAGCAACCAATTTGTCTTTTGAAAGGGGCCACTGATCCACCCACACTAGTTGGGTAGTCTTCCCCACTAATTTAAGCATGGGTCGCTGCTGATCAGTGGCCCTGATCAAAAAGACTGCAATCTTATACCCCACTGACTCAGACAGTCCCGCCCCAACAATATGATCTCACAATTAACAACATATGGTCTGACTTTTGCGACTAACCCCTCTTCCCGATCCCGTATTTCAACAAAGCTTTGACTAATTTATGTAAGTTGATTTCCCGCTATGCCCTGGATGGCAGTGAATGCCGCTTGAACTGGCCATTGTTTTGGCCATACACCTTGTGGGATGATTGTAACGTCTGCTCCTGTGTCAATAAGGCAAGTCAAGCTCAGAACAATGTCCTTAGGCCCAGAGATCTCCACTGTCCTCATGGGCTGCTGCAGGCCTATTTGCTGAACAAAGGCAATTTGGGGATCTGTGGAACCGAATCCTCCCGGACCCCTTTTCTTAGGACAGGCGTTTCGAACCTGGGCTTGGAATGGAATTAACTGAGCGATCGGAGTCCCAGCCGTGATTGTTAGTGGTGGTGCTGTGGTCCTGATCATGATGCATATGGTCCCTGTGAAGTCTGCGTCGATAATTCTGGGGAGAACAATCAGTCCTTGCTTTGTAGCGGATGAGCGTCCAAGCAATAGAGCGCTCATTCCGTAACCGACAGGGCCTTGTTCTGTTGATGGAATTACTTGTATTTGAGAATTTGTGAGCGTCACATCCGACGCGATCTTCACATCCAGTCTGGCACTCCCAAAAGTGGCTGCTCGGAGGCGGGTGAGAACGGTGTCACCGGCCGTGCTTGTATCATCGCGCCCTGCCAGGCGCTCGCATTCCGGTTTCCCGGCAGCAGTTGACCGGTCTTGTGGAATTTAGAATAGCAATCCTTTTGCTTGTGGCCAAATTTGCCACAGCGTCCACATTTACCAGCAAATCCCGACGCCTCAGCACGTGAAGTATTTACAGGTGATGAATAAGTGGTTGCTGCATTCTGTTTTGGGCGCTGTCGCTTAAAGTGACCTGGCTTCCCACAGTTGAAACAAGTGGCCGCTGGCATTCTTCTCGTAACTCCTATTCCTCCCACTGCTCTTGAGCCTCTCTCCCCCCTTCCCCGTTGTAAGAAAGGGCGTAGTGCAGCTGTCATTGCTGAAGCCTGAACTTGGGCGGCTTGTTGCAAGTGAATCTGAGCGCAGCGCTCGATCATTTCCACCAGTGTGGCATGTGGTGACATGGATTGTATGGCTCTTTTGCAGTCACTTGAGCAGTTTGGCATGGCTAGATCTCTAGTGACGGCTGCTTTTGCTTCTCGTGACAAATTTGGGGCAGCTTTGATAGCCTGACAGAGACGAGATATAAAGGAGGCAAATGATTCTTCAGGGCCCTCTGTTATTTTTCCATACTCTGGCTGCGGGGAGAACACCTGTGGCATCATTTGCATGGCCTTTAAAGCCAGATTTTGTGATTGTTGAATAACCTCAGGCCGCATGGCTGCTTGTCTCTGTGGGTCTATGAACTGTCCAATACCCAGGAGTGATGGAGCCGTTACACCCTGCAAAGGGTGTCCATCCCCTAATTCAAAATTTTCCAGCTCGGCTTGTTCTGCTAGGCGTTGCCATTTCTCCTGGAAGATGAGTGCTTGCATCGGAGAGAATATTGGTTCAGCCAAAGTGTGGGTGTCATGTGGCAGCATAAGTGTAGTTTGATATAAATGTCGGATGGTTGCCATAGCTTGGGAATTATCCACCCCATACTGCATGATCATTCTTTGTATTTCTTTCACAATTCTCCAATCAAGTGGTTGCCATTCTGCATGTTGTTCTCGCCTGATAATAGGGGACGCCTGTGGGGTGGTTTTTATAGTCCCTTCTAGGATTCCGTTTGTAATTACGGCTTGCCACTTGTGTAAGCCATTATAGGTTGGGTCTGACGGGGGCAGTGTGGGCTTATTTTTTGGCACTGTTGTCCTGTCCAGCTTTTCAGGGGACCGCTGTTTCATTAGTCGTCTTACTTTCTGCGGATGCTTTCCCCTTTTTATGTCATCCTCATTTTCCTGTAGCCAATTTATATGTAGAGGGTGTCGGTCCAATCCCCCCTCTATTACTTCTTTTTTATACTTCTCTAGGAAGACTGGCTTAGGTTCCCATTCTAATGAATTCTGCCACCATTTGAGCCATTTAACATCGTGTTCTGGTGTGCGCTTTGGTGGGATCCCTGAGGAGGTCAGTCCCATTCCCGACTTATTATCATCATTTAAATTAATTAAGTCAGGCATATTAGTGTCTTCGTCCTCAGAGCTATAAACAGGCACCGATTTTTTAGCCTTGTTTCTTGACAGGTTAGGATGTGCTCTGGGGTCTTGTTCATCCTCACTAGGTGGTAATGGGATACCTTGTGGCTGTAACTTAGATTGCAGCAGTCTCAGCATATGCAGGAGTTGCTCATTTTGCTTTTTAAGTGCCTGATTGATGTCACAGTCCTTCCCTAAGTCACTCGTTTTGTCTACCTCCATTTTTTCAGTGTCGATAATCAGGGGAGCCGTTGGGATAACCGGATCTAGGCTCCAAGGGATGAATCTTGTCCCCCTGTGAACTGGAAAAGCCGTCCTTTGTCGCCCTCTCAGAGCACTGTCAGGAATGCATGGGGAATGTACCGGCAACATTGTAGCCTCTCGCATGGTTCTTTGGCTTGGGTTCAGAGAGTTTTCATCTGGCCTTAGATTTTGAGCCTCTGTTTTAGCCATGCCTTTAGGTCCATGGCCATCAGTAATCGGCTCATCATCTATACCTTCCTCATTTCTATCAGAATTTTCTCCAATTTCGTCCTCTGTGTTTGAGTCAGGGTTATTTTTGGTAGTTAACGTGAGTAAAGCATGCCTAGTGTCTTGATCGACAGCCAGTTGTTCAAGGGCATTTCTACAAGTTTTCCACGTTTGTGCTAATCGTCCTGCCTGTTTGTTCCCAGCCGAATAGCTTTCCCAAATGTCCTGGCCTAGTTTGTCCCAGACGCTGAGAGCAAAAGCCTGATCAGTATTTTGCAAAATGTTCTTGCGCTGACCCCATTGCAAAAGTTCTGCTAACGTTCTTTTATTTACTGGGGTTTTTGCGCGTTTGGTGACTTCCTTTAAAGCAGAGAAAACAGCCTTCTCCTGAGCTGATGCAGCTACTCCCATGGTTGCCTCCTTTTTATATTCTCCTGGGCCCAGTATTTCACATGCAACCGTATCACCCACCGTCTTTTTCTTTGCGCAGGGCTTACCTGGTTCAGTGGCTTGAGATCAGTGAGATCCCGGACAAGACCCCAAATGTGGTGAATCCTTGTGCCCATGCGCAGCCTGGTGTCATGTCAGTGACGAAGCCAGTCTCAGGCGCCAATATGGTGTGCAGAAAGCGCTCGTTTATTAAGCCTCAGTGATACATATTTATCTTATTTTGTGTTCCGTACACGCGCCGAGCATGCATACTGCATTACAATTATAGGCTACTAATTACGTATGTTAGTTTGTGATTGGTGCTGCAGGCCGATCACTCGCTGTTCACGCACCTTAGCGGATTGGCTGCTCTTTTCCCCGAGTCCGTTGCCAGCTTCTTCTCTAAATGTTGAACCATCACTTTTTGTTTCCAACTGTTGAACCATCACTTTGTTTCCTTGTGTCCTTGGTTGCTTTGGTGACTCTTATCATAGGTCCTGATATGGCCGCTGGGCCACATAAACCTCCACACAACTGTGCTCTTATTTCAATCCCTTGTTTATGAAAGGCATTTTTAGCAGCCTTTCTCTACCTGATACACATGCATGAAATTATTTCTCCAGCATAGTCATCCGAGGCTCTCCTTGGTTGTCTGTAAAACTCTGGCCAGATGTAACGCCTATCCTGGCCCTGTATTGCATTGCCAGTAAACAGCGCTGCCAAAAATCTGCAGGGAATGTAGGGGAGAAAGGTATTTCTCTTTCTTTATAATTATTGGTAACTGAAGCTGAGTGAAAAATGGATTTTCAGATCACTGCATTTAAAAAAATATTTGCACTTGATCCAGATTGTTTGTTTCAATAACCATTTTAGTTTTGGCAATTCCCAGAAATAAATTCAACTACTAAAATCAAATCAAATAATGAAATCTTAATTTAAACTGAAAAAGTGGAACTTTTTGTTTTCAAAATAGTAAACTTCAGGCTGTTTTCTTTTTAATAAATATTTTCTCAGAATGAGTATGTGCTTGGGAAATGTTCCCACTACTAACATGACACCAATTGGACTAAATCGCCTAAGTCACACAAACAAGGAAAGTTGGTGAGCAGTCTTTAAAGCAAAGTAGCTGAGAACTGGATTTGTGGGAACACTTATTGTCTGGGGAGGTTTCCCTGGTCCTTAATTGTAGGACTGAGTACTCTTAAAAAATCTGACTTTCTCATTCATGTTCTCTGTTGGCTACTGCTCTTATTTATTAACTCTTAGCAGCTCTCCCCCATGGTGTCTTTCTGGTCAGGGGGGATACTGTAGCCCTTTGCCCACCAATGCTGCAGTGGAGAGAGAAGGTTAGAGTCCTGTGAGGTTACTCTGCTCGGGTGGCCATCCTCCCCAAATCTGGTGAGGAGACCTCCACAGGAGAACAGAAGTTCCCACTGCCTGAGCTAAAAAGCTCAGCTCTAGGCAGAAGGTTGTGAAGAACTGGGTAAGGCCAAGAAAGAGACACTGGGTGCTCGACACTAGTCCTTAACCTCCCCCCACAGCCCCAGCTGCCAAAACGGTGTTATTTCAAGTATTCCAAATAACTTCTGAGATTTGTCTCTAAAGCTAGGAGTAGCACAAATCCAGGGAAAGACGTTTTGATAGTGTAAGGCCTTGTCAGTAGATCAGCTTGCGAGAGTGAAGCAACTTTTCTTAAAGCTGGCATACATACACCAGTCCAGTACTTCTGTGCCAGTGTAAGCTGTTGACTTTGCATTAGATTCCCCCGTGTGGGCTCCATATGCATGTGTTAGTGACACAGACATCCCAAACAGGCTTGCAGCTCTCCCACGGCTGAGACCGAAGGTTTAGACAACTGACACTTTGTCATGTGTTTCACTGTTCTTTGCTCAGTTTTATGTGTCCTGCACCTCAGTCACTCAGCTCCGTCTCTGGCTGCACTGTGAACTTTGTGTTTGGCATCTAACTACGCGTTACTGTTTTCTATCAGCCTGGTGGAGCATGCTGTGAGAGCAGGAGCTACCTGGGTGCTGGTGCCCGACATACCCTTTAGCAGCCCACAGCAATGTCAGCTGGAAGGTCATGAGACTTAGTGCTTCTGCCCAACCTTGTTCTCATTTAAATACTGAGATAGCTGTAATTCCCAGCACATGAGTTGCCACCCTCAAGGGCTTCCTAACTTCCCAGGGCTTGCCTTGGCTGAGGATTCATGGTGTTTAACCGCCTCGGCAAGCTCTGAGGTTAACTGAGGACAGCTGTTATATGCAGGATGCTGGCTTGCTCCGCGCTGGCCTCATGAATCTCCTCCCCATGTGAAACATGGGAACAGTCAGAATGGTATTTGAGAGGAGGGTGGGAGTGCCAGCCAGACCTCGCTGGGATCTGTGCGTGTGTGTGCTAATGAGGCCCAGAGGTGATGCCAGCCAGCTATCTCAAAGTAGTTTGCACATGAGTGCACCAAGAATGCACCAGCTATTCAACGATAATAAGTTTTTATAAGCACACGTTTCTGACCATGTCAAATTTTGTACCCATTCAGCTGCTAAAATCCATGGAATTTGACACTGAGGAAACAATCACATTTGAGAAGAGCTTGGACAAAGCGGAACTCACATTGCTTCCCAACTAGAGCCTGAGCAGCTGATTGGCTTTTCTAACACAATATCACACATTTATTCCTTAAGCAAGATTAAAACTTGAGAAGAAGAAAGATTAGTCAGCAAGATTAGAATAGAAAACGTTCTTAGAGAGTTATATTAGCCATAAAGAACCATCTGCTCTCCACAACTGCAAAAGTAAAAGGAGATTTTTCTTCTACAGTGTTGAATGGTAGACTTCTACAACCACGCAACTGGGGTCTAGTCGGTTCTCAGCTCGGAAATCCCAGTATTTTCTCTAACTTTACTGAGTTGGGTAAAGTAAAACATGCTGAAGGGTGTGAATAAGATGAGCACACAGAAAAGAATAATTTTCCTTGAGATCTTGGTGTCCAAATACCCAGACAACACCAGAAGATGCTGATGCACCCAAGGAGAGCTCAAACTGAAGTAAAGGGAACACGATATTTTCTCCATTAGAAAAAAAAAAATGCTGGAATCTAAATCATTCCTGCTATAGAAAATCACTGGTGAGAGAGATTCAGTAAGCATCAAGGAAGGACAAAGGAAAGAAATGGGGTTTGGGAATGAAGAGAGAATAGGGATCAGGATGATACTAAAAAAGAGGAGGAAACAAAAAGCAAAACTGCTCCCACTCGGGTGGGATGAACAGGCTGTGTCAGGTTTGAGCTGGTGCAAATCAGTGTCATTTCACTGACGTCAGGACGCTCGCTGTCACGTACATCACCTCTTCTTCCTTTTTAAGACCAGCTTACAACTCACATTGCCTCTCAGTATTGTCTCTTCCTTAGTTTAAACACAAATGCTGCTGGGGTGAAGCAGTTCCCTGATCCTAAGGATGTCATCATTCTACTAGCAAAAAGGTGTTGTTCTTCTTAAACAGAAAAAAGCTCTTAGACTGACTATTTTTTGTCCATGTTGCCTTCCTGAATGAAGTATTGAAGTACAGGAGATGAATGTACTGAAATCTCATTTCCCACACTGCTAGTCTGATATTAGTTTACCACAATAACTGCTCCCTGGAAAAATAAACATTAGCTCAGAAGAGGGCAAACTACAAAATACAAAGAGATGAAATATTAAGGAAATTGTGAGCAGTCACTTGAGCTTGTACAGTAGCACTTAACTTTCTCACCCCAAGGGCTCAAATGAGGTGAATGGAGTTACTGAAACTCATTAACCATGAATCCATTGTTCATTTCAAGCTTTTTCTATGAGGTGATCGATACTTCAAAAACTGTGTGGGAACTGAAGGGACATTAGGAACAAATAATAAAAGTGAAACCAGATTGCAGGCCTGATCTTTTCTCCACTGTGGTTTTGTGCAGTTTAGTTCCTGGGCAGTGAGGAAAGAAATATGCTTCAAGAGAAGGGGCCCTGTGGGAGGACCAAGGAGCTTCTGCTTACTATCTGATTCTACCCCTGGTCCCTGCTCACGCCATCTTTTGTCTCACTTTTGTTTTGGGACCGGAGGAGACTCAGCTATTGAGGATGAAATAAAACTTTCAACTCAGCCATGACAAACTTTCTGTCTTTAATAATGGCTTTGTACAGTGCCTGCAGCAGTAAGGTGTGTTTTTTCAATAACCTGTGGTTTATATAGAGTCCTTTTTTGTGATGCAAAACACTGCTGAATGCTGTGAAGTATGATAGCACCAGAGCAACCAGTTGTGGGACAGCACATACTTTTCAGGCTGAGGATTTGGATCAGCAACATGTATATTACCAGTTCAAGATAAAAATGCAGTAGGAAAAAATTCATGCTTGAGCTCTACTCACTGACACATGGGAGACGCATGACGAGAGCAGATACTTTCAGTGGTAGCAGGTGACAAAGTAATAGTTGTAGATGATGGGCTATGAGACTATAATGGACACAGAGCGTTTTCTGAAGTGTTGTACAACAAGGGCTTTAAAAGTAAGACTGACAAGTGCATCTGTGAGGGCGTGATGAACCCTCAGGATGGAAATCTGCTCTTGAAATTGTCCCATGGTAAACCTGAAAAGAGTCAGTGAAATGTCAGTAGTATTTCTTCTGCTGCACACTGACGCAACTGAAGCAGAATTTGGTTCTAGCTATGTAAGTGTGATGGATGAGAATTATTATCTGCCTGGAGAAACTGAGAGACGACGGCTAAGTCATCCAAGGACAGCCCTTGGGAGTTGGCCAGTATCCCAAATCTGTGCTATGGCATCAAAAGACAGCATTTTATTCATATGAGCTGCTTCCCTCCCAGCAGCAGCAGAAATAGCCTCTTTCCTGTCTGATATACCTTTGCTTCATGTCTCCCCTGTCTTTTCCAGGCCACAACCAGTCTTTGAATTAGCTGTTGATGTGAGAAAGAAATGTGGGAGCTGTGCCTGAGCTGTGAAAAGGGACCGTTCATGGGATAGAAAAGCCAGACCTTGGGATAAGGTCTGTCTCCCTCTGCGATGGGATTTAAATGACCCTACTCTCTTTTTCAGTTAAAAGGAGCTGGTTTGTTCTCATTTCAGCATGCTAAAACTTTTCTTTCCCCAGGTGAAGACAATGACTGAGCCCTGAATGGGTGGATAGGAAGCTGAGTAAAGTGATTAGGGCTGGAAACAGGGAAAATTATGGAGCACTGCTGTCACTTGGGCTGGGCTGGTTCACAACCAGCGAACGGGCACACTCACAAGATCATGCTGTTTGGGGAAAAATGAAAAAAAAAAAAAAAGGAGCAAGGAATTGTGTGAATAAAGTAGAATTCATTACTGCTACAGAAACAAAATATGATGGCCTTTTCCTTTGATTTCTGGAGAAAAAATATATATGATGCTGAATAGCCATGTGACCTTTTCCTTAGATCCTGGGTCCATTTTGCCTCCTCCATCACTCCCACAAAATCTACCTGGTTCATCAAATGCATCAAAGATAATTCATGT